CGTTAGGTTAATAACTTTTTGCTACTTCCTTATCCAAAAAATAACTTTTTTCTACTTACAAAAATATTGTTAACGATATCTTTTTCTTTTTTTCTATCACAAATCATATAACTTTAATAGTTACCCGCAATTCAAATATTAACGATTCTTAGCCTATTGTTAACAATCTTTTGTTCTCGTATCAAATGTTTCAGGAAGGTATCATTAACAATAATAAATTTATTATTAATGTTTCTATAGCGCTATAGGGTTTTTTATGAAAATCATTATTAATGAAAACTCGTCAATTTTCAAAAAAAAAAAAAACACACACACGTAAACGTCAGCAACAAAATACACGAACACGGTATTCATATATAGCATAAACAGCGGATGCGCGTTCGGTATCCCGTTGAGGAAGACGATATAGCATAAATGCTATCGACGTGCTGGCGGCGGAATGGTGACGAGATGCTGGACGTGTTGCCGGCAAAAGATGGCGGAGGAGACGTTGCGGCCTTTGCCAATGGGAGGACTTGTCGCTGTTGGCGCGATCGCCAATGGGAGGACCGAGCGTTGTCGCCGCTGGGCAGATGTCGGCGGGATGATGGAGGCCCGTGCCGGGAGGATGAGCTACGAGAGGTAGAAACACTAAATGGTTTAGGTTTTTATTTCTTGTTTTTCTCTTTCTATTAATTAGTAATTTTTTCTATTACCTAATTTACCTTTAATAATAATCTATCTAACAACCAATAGAATTGGCTTAAGCATATGCTTAAACTTTTAGGCTTAAGCACTGGATCTGACCCGATTCATGTTTCACGGTGATATTAGATTTGCTTAATGTATCAAACATGTGGATTTATTTTTGCCAAAATATGTGGATCGCTAAGATTATAAAATTTCATCTCATAAGATAGGGTTTTGGAGGGAGAAGTCACGAGGTGAAATGACAAAAATAACTACATTAAATTTTATTATTTTATTTTTATGTCATTTAGTGTTGTTAAAGCCGACCCGAGCCGGTCGGTCAGACCGATAAAACCGGCACCCGGACACCAACTCGGGTCGGAAGCCTCCAATAGCCGTAACGGTCAGAAATGTCGGTTTTTGAGCGGCTGAAATGGTTAACCATTCGAGCCGCTCGGACCGTCCGACCGGTTTTTGGATTTTTGACCGTATGAAAAAAAAAAAAAACAATCGAGGGTTGGATTCTTGGGGAATTTGTTGTTTCATTCCTGGATCGAGGCGTGGCCACGCAGATGGATTCCACGGTGATGGTCGAGATGGTCGTCCTCGGGATGTGGTGATAAGATCTAAGAGTGGCGGTGAGCGGAGTGGAGGAAGGCGATGTCCGCTGAACAGATCCCTGCAGGCGGCGCTGATCTCTTCTCCCAAGCACACTACTCCTCTCCGCCTTCCTTGCGCGAAGTCGCCGCCTTCCAGTTCGTAATTTCAGAAGTCGCGAGTTGAAAGGGGTAGAGGTATGGATGTGTAATTGGATTGAAGTTTAATCGAAGAGAAAGGAAGGGTCGTGGCGGTGATTTGAGAGAGGTGGGGTCGATGGGCCAAGGGAGAAGCATTTTGGTTGTGTCGGCCGATTGAAAACAATTGGCTTTAGAGTTTATAATTATATATATATATATATATACCATGTTAATTTACTAAAATGATACATTCAAAGCAAATTTTATTTTAGTCATTCAATTTTCTAGTAAGCAATAGTTTAGTATACATATTATGATGTTTGCTATTTTATGTGTCTTCTACTTATGATATTATTGTTTTTAAGGTACCGATTCTCTAACGGTTTTTTAATGGCCTAATACCGGCTAGACCGCTAAAGTGCTAGCCGTTTACATTATCGGGTTATACTCCGGTTCGGTTCCGGCAACATTGATGTCATTCTCTATCTATTGGGATTTGTAATATTTTCTCTGTATCATTTCAATTTTATCAATATTTTAGGGAAGAAGATTAAACTCGAATTGAATTCAATAATTTTAGTCCACGTAGAATATCTTTAAACTTGGTCGACAAAGAACATAACAAAAAAGCATATAAACATATTTCAAAAATAGGCAGTGGCGAAGTATCATATAGTGGATACAGAATACTTAGTAAATGAGTTGGGAACACAAATTGAACAATATGAAATCTAACCTCCCATTGTTGTTGTTCCTCAGTAGCTCACTATAGAGCAGTCAGTGTTTAGCTGATTGGTTAGATCTATGTTGCAGAAAGAACAATACATTTTTTTTTCTAGAGAAATTTTGACACTCATATTCAAACTATTTTAGTCCCTTAACTACTTCATATTTCAATGAGATCATTTGATCATACTTTACTTCGCGTTCAATGGACTTCACTCCTTGTAAATTGTTAAGGAGAAGAACGGGTCATGCAGACTGTTATGTTTACTGCTCCACCTTTACTGCTGCTACTTCTCCTTCTGTTCCACTTCTGTAGCACCACTCCTCCTGGAATCTCTCTAGATAGTTAGACACAGCCGTTGCTCCTCCTGTATAAAAGTGTGATTGATAACAATAAAATACTCAGCGAATTACCTGAGATTTCATGGTATCAGAGCCCAAAGCCTAAACGACAAATCAATCACTCCCCTTCTCACCTCTGCTGCCAATTCCCTGTTCGTCCTCTATCTCACAGCCACCATGACGAATGAAACCTCCTCCTCTGCCACCTCTGCAACTTCTGGATCTCTCCCCCCTTCTAGTACTCTCTCCGTTTCTCTTCCCTCCACACCCCAAATTTCTTTCAAACTCACTCCCACAAACTATCTCCTGTGGAAGCTTCAACTACTGCCACTCCTCCACAGCTTTGATCTCGCACAGCACATCGATGGCTCGTCTCCCGTCCCGTCTGGCCATCTTGATGCCGACATTCCCAATCCCGCTTATGCTGCGTGGTACAAACGCGATCAGCTTGTTCTCGCCTGGATCACTGGCTCTCTTACCGATGCTGTCCTCTCCAAATTGGTCGGTTGCACATCTGCTGCAGATGCCTGGGCCCGTCTAGCTGCTGCTTATGGGGCTGCAAGTCGCCACACTCTCCGCAACCTCAAAGATCGATTCGAAGCCCTCACTTGCGGATCGGAATCCATCGACAACTACCTTACTCGTGCTAAAGACATTGTTGATCGTCTGGCGGCCATCAATTACCCTGTGTCAGATGATGATCTCGTTGCTCGCTGCCTCAAAGGCCTCGGCGAGTCCTTTCTTCCGTTCGTGCGCGTCCTTGAAGCTCGACCCGAGCCTGTTTCCTTCGACGAGTTCCACGGTCTTCTCCTCAACGAAGAAGCTCGTCTCCGCCAACACAACCTACTCACCGATGATTTCTCTCCGTCAGCTAACTACAGCCGCTCTAGTTATCGTGGCCGTGGCGGACGGGGCAGGTTCTCCTCTCGTAGCGGCGGACGCGTCCGAGGGCAAAGGGATGGCCGACTCCCTTCCACACACCAACCGGGCCTCACTTTCCCACAAGCAGCAGCCTGCACCAATCCCCAGCAAGGCCTTCTTGGGCCAAGGCCCATTTCTAATCCCTCTCTCTCTCTTTTGCAGGTTCCAGCCCAATGCAGTGTTATATATGTCATGGTTTTAGTCACTTAGCCCGCCAATGTCCCACCCCAGCTCACCCCCCTCGTAACCAGCCCTCTGCTCACCTTGCTACCACCCCGACCTCTCAAGAATGGCTTCTCGATTCTGGTTCCAACTATCATCTCACATCCGATCTCAACAACCTCGCCCTTCATTCTGAATACAATGGTCCTGAAGAAGTCTCCTTTGCCAATGGTAACACATTTCCCATTACTCACTCTGGTTCCTCTCTTGCCACCTTACGTTCTCGTCATTTGCGCTTATCCAAAATTCTACATGTACCCTCTGCCACGAATAATCTCCTTTCTATTAATACCTTGACTCGCTCTAATCCATTGTCCATTCATTTTTTTTATGACTCCTTCATTATCAATGACACTCGCACCCATACCATCCTACATCAGGGACGGAGTAAAGATGGCCTCTACTCCATTCCGCTATCCATTCTCGCCTCGACCTCACCACGGGCTTTCTCTACCACTCTCTCTCATTGGCACCAGCGGCTTGGCCACCCCCACTCTCGTGTTCTCCATCAAGTTCTAAACTCCAATTCTTTGTCTGCTTCCAATAAAAGTGACGTCACTTTATGTCACGGTTGTAGTGTAGCTAAGATTCACAAACTTCCTTTCCCTCGTTCTACTTTTAATGCTCAAGGTCCGTTAGATTTAATTTGTAGTGATGTTTGGGGCCCTTCTCCCGAACTTTCCTTTGATGGGCATCTCTACTATATTCTCTTTTATGATCACTTCAGTAAATTTACATGGATTTTTCCAACTCGATATCGCTCTAATCTTCTATCTATCTTCATCCAATTCCGAACCCAAGTTGAAAAAATTTTCAATCGTCCTATCAAAATGTTCCAGGCCGATTGGGGCGGTGAATACCAAAAACTAGGCACCTATCTCAAAACTCATGGCATCATACACCGCACCTCCTGTCCATACACTCCTGAACAAAATGGTTGCGCCGAACGTAAACACCGCCATATTGTCGAGACTGGCCTCGCACTTCTGCATCATACATCTCTTCCTCTCAAATTTTGGTCTTATGCATTCGATACTGCCGTTTACCTCATCAATCGCCTGCCAACACCATTGCTTTCCTTGCGTACACCTCTCAAGGCCCTTCACTCATCTCTACATGACTACTCTATTCTTCGTATATTCAGTTGTCTCTGCTATCCTTGGTTACGCCCATTAACCCGCCACAAACTCCAACCACGTTCCTCTCCATGTGTATTTCTCGGCTATAGCCCTGCCCATAAAGGTTACCGTTGTTATAATCTCCTTACTCACAAAATTCATGTCTCTCGACACGTTCTCTTCGACGAGACATGCTTCCCATTTCAGGATCCAAAATCCCAATCCCTCACAACATATCCTATCCCCTATACCCAGCCTACGCCTACACTTTCACCACCCACCACATTTACACTCCCCACTCCTCCCATTTTATATTCTCCCTCACCAGCTCCCACCCGCCTCCCCCATCTCACCCACGACCCATCATTCCCCAAACCAGCCCCATTCTTCACCACTCTCCGTCCCCAGCCCACTTCCCTCCCAGCCCAATTCACCATCCTAGCCCACTTTACCCTCCCAGCCCTCCACCGTCCCCACCAATCACCCCACCAAAGCCCACACCACTAAGACCCGGCCCAACCCCCACATTCATCGCCTCACCCTTCCCACTGTCAACCCTGCTGCCCGCCGACCTCCCGCTGCTAATACTACTCGCCCTTCCCGACTCACCACTATCACCCATCCTCCCCCATCTCACCACATGCTCACGCGCAACCAAACCGGCACCAGAAAACCAAAACAGTTCCTCGCCGCCACCACTCCATCCTTACCCCCGCTACCAAAATCCACACGTCAGGCCCTCGAAAACCCTCTCTGGCGAGCCGCCATGTTTGAAGAACACACTGCATTGCTAAGGAACCAGACTTGGGATCTCGTCCCGCCGTCCCCAACTCAACATGTCCTCTCTTGCAAGTGGCTATATCGCATCAAGACAAAATCCGACAACACCATTGATCGCTTCAGGGCTCGCCTTGTTGCGCGCGGTTTTCAGCAAAGACCGGGGATTGATTACGGCGACACATTCATCCCCGTGCTCAAACCAACGACCCTTCGGATCATTCTCTCACTCGCCGTCACTAATCATTGGCCGATCTGTCAACTCGATATTGCCAATGCTTTCTTACATGGCACCCTCACTGACGAAGTTTTTATGCAGCAACCTCCGGGTTTTATCGATCCTCAACGACCACATCATGTCTGTCGGCTGAAGAAGTCCCTTTACGGCCTCAAACAGGCTCCTCGGGCCTGGTTCCATTGTCTCCGCCAAGCTCTGGAAGACTACGGGTTCAAGGGCTCCAAAACGGATACATCTCTATTCATTCTCAACAAAGGTACTCTCCGGGTTTACGTTCTCGTCTATGTCGACGACATTCTGATCACAGGGAATCAACCAACCAGACTACAAGAGGTCTTTGACTACTTTCAGCAGCACTTTGCGGTTCGTGACCTTGGGCGACTCTCATTCTTTCTCGGAATTGAAGCAGTGTGGGCACCACAGGGCCTATTGCTTTCCCAACAGAAATACATTCTAGAGATTCTCAAGCGTGCAAAAATGTCCAATGCTAATTCCATCTCCACTCCGGCTGCTGTTTCCACCACAACTCCTGATATTACTCCGTTTGAAGACGCGTCCCTGTACCGCCAAATTGTGGGCTCCCTTCAGTATCTACAATTCACACGCCCAGATATTTCTCACGCAGTCAACTACTGTGCACAACACATGCACCAACCACTGCAGCATCACTGATCCGATGTCAAACGGATATTGCGCTATCTCCGTGGCACACCGGCACATGGCCTCTTCTTCAGCACTCACTCATCACCCATTCTGTCCGGCTACTCCGACGCAGCCTGGGCTAGTTGTCCGACTGATCGCCGATCCACCACAGGCTATGCCGTCTACTTAGGCTCCCACCTCATATAATGGTCCTCCCGCAAGCAACACACTGTTGCCCGCTCCTCTACAGAGGCTGAATACAAAGCACTAGCCACACTCGCAGCCGAGATCATATGGATCCAATCTCTCCTCAACGAGATTGGTGTCTCTCTCCCGTCCCCGCCGAAGCTTTGGTGCGACAACCTCGGTGCAACGTATCTCACTGCTAATCCTGTGTTCCACTCCCGCAGCAAACACATGGAAATTGACTTCCATTTCGTTCGAGAACGAGTGGCTACCGGTCAGCTACAAGTGCGATACATCTCCACCAACGACCAAATCGCAGATTTGCTCACCAAGCCACTTCCCCGCCAAAGATTTCTTCACTTCAGGTCCAAGTTGAAGGTCACTGACCATCAACTTGCGGGGGCGTGTTAAGGAGAAGAACGGGTCATGCGGACTGTTATGTTTACTGCTCCACCTTTACTGCTACTTCTCCTTCTGTTCCACTTCTGTAGCACCACTCCTCCTGGAATCTCTCTAGATAGTTAGACACAGCCATTGCTCCTCCTGTATAAAAGTGTGATTGATAACAATAAAATACTCAGCGAAATACCTGAGATTTCATAAATCACTACCAAAACACTTGGCATGCCACTTTATTACCCAGAAAACAAACCCACATCAACCATTTATTCACAATTTGCAGGGCCGGCCTAGAGGGTGTGCCGGTCCGCCCTCCGGCATAGGGCCTCCAAATATTAGGGGCCTCTACTTAAATCCGTTAGTTATCCATCGTATATTGTAGGTTGTATTTTTAGTGTATGATTGATTGATTGATTATGAGTATAATGGTGAGTTTAACAGATGATCATAGCTATAATAACAATTAAAATTTATCTCATGGAGACTACAAAAATCAGAGAGATAATAGATAATTTTATTTTTAAGATATTACATGTTGAATAATGGTAATATAATCATTTTAATTTTATTATAGTTAAAACTCAATTTGAATCACGTCTCGATTTTGGAACAGGGCCTGCACAATCTATTAGACAGCTCCGCACCAACCTCTCGATTAATTTAGACTATTTTCATTTCTCCATTCAATTTTTGCACTATATCCATTTTCTCTTCCATCCATATTTACTTTCCTCTCTACTAGAGCTGGAAATTTGGTATTGATTTCTTGGTCAAACTAGAAACGTGATCATTTATTTCTTTCGTAATCATTTTCCGAGCTTATTTTTTTATAATTATTTTTATTTTTAATAAATTTATGGAGTTAGGGCCACATTTTACATTTTTAAAACAGGGCCTCTGAATATCATGGGACGGCCCTGACAATGTGCATCGATCAAATTGAGAACCGGCAGCAATCCTCTGACTCCGCATCCCTCTTGGCAATGGAGGAATACTCTGTTCATTCCTGAACAAATTCTCAGGATCCACAGCCGTCTTCACCCTCACCAACCTCTCAAAATTCTTCCCGAAATACTTCTCCCCCCAAACCCTAGCCCTCTCGTACCTCCTCCACTCTCCTTCTTCTTCTTCTTCTTCTTCTTCTTCTTCTTCTTCTTCTTCTTCTTCTTCTTCTTCATTCATCCCAATATCAAGATCTCTGTAATTCACATAAGCAGACCTCGGCTCCCTCGAAACATAATCCCCCGCCAAATCATACAACTCCCTCAACCAACCCACATGCCTCTCCTCTGTCCTCTCCCCTTCATCGCTCCAATACGCCATGTGCTGGATCATATACAAGTTCCCGCCCCTGTGTGGAAACGGAATCCTGAATTCCGAAATCTCCTCCATTTCCCCTCCCCATGGAAACATCAGAATACCCCCGAACTCCGGCTCGATCTCCATCAGCTTCTCCCACATTTTTAACAGAGCGGATTCAGGAATCGGGTCGCCTCGAACGAAGTCGGATTTGCATTTGTACTTCAGGGTCCAAACCAGAGGCGAGTTTTTGCTCCGGTCGAGCAGCGCCTCGACGGTGGCGTTGCTGGGGAATCCGCCGTGGAACACGACCGATTCGAGCCAGGTCATTTCTTTGCAGTCTTCTCCGGTGAGACCCAGCTCGGGAAATTCGCTCTGCATCAGGTTTAGGAGCTTATCGGTTTTCCCCAGAAACAGAGCACTGAAGATTGCTATTTTAATTGTTGCTCTGTTTATTGTTCTGTTTGTGGTTGTCAGCAGGAGGTCGAGGGATAATTCCTTGGGGAGCTTGCTGGAGACGGATTGCCATTTGTGGGCGATTTCCAGACCGTTCTGTTCGATCGTTCTCACGACGCTGAACACTGTGACTGTGGATGGAACGGTGACGAGTCGAATTTTCCAGGCGACGGCGATTCCGAAGGTGTTTCCCCCGCCACCGCGTATGGCCCAGAAGAAATCTTCACCCATGGAAGCTCGATCAAGAATTCTACCTCTGCAGTCGATTACGACGGCGTCGATTACGTTATCCGCAGCGAGGCCGAATTTCCTGACAAGGAAGCCGAACCCGCCGCCGCTGAAGTGGCCGCCGACGCCGACGGTGTTGGTGACCCCGGCAGGGAACGCGAGGTGGGGACTCCTTTTCGCAATTCGGTAGTAGAGCTCCCCCAAAACGGCTCCGGATTGGACCCACGCCGTCTTCTCGGCCCGATTTACGGTGACGTTTCGGAAAGAGGCGAGGTCGAGGACGGCGAATGGGGGAAAGGGAGTTTGTTGATGGGAAGAGTAGGAGAGGCCCTCGTAGTCGTGGCCGCCGCTTCGGATTCGGATGTGGACGTTGTGGCGGCGGGAACAGAGGACGGCGGCTTGGATTTGGGAGGTGGAAATTGGGGTGAGGATGAATGAAGGTTTGGGGGTGGATGTGGAGTTGAATCTGGCGTCACGGATTGTGGATTGGAGGATTGTGGAGTAGTTTGGGTTGGATGGGGCGTATATGAGATTGCTCGGAAAGCCGCCGCCGCCGGAGATGAGGCAGTGGATGAAATCTTGGCAAGTTTGGACCGCCGGCGGCGAGGCCGGTGAAAGTGGGAGTAGTAGTAGTAGGAAGAGGAGGAGCGGCAGAGTTGGCAACATTTTTTTCAGTGTTTTTGTTTGGGTGGTAATCGGGGAAATATTAAATATACCAGTTCGATGCTACAATAAATAATCATGTTGAATTTGTGGTTTCGATAAAAATGTTTACAAATATTAGTACGAGAATCGATTAGATGGGATTCTTTTTTTGTATGGATGACATTGTTGAACTGTGGTTGGGTGGGGAAGATTTGAATAATGGTGTAATGGACAATTGAGTGGACCAAAACTTTGATGAAAGCTACATGATATTTGTGGTTCTTTGTTAAGGATGACCAAATGATACGATGAGATGTTTTTTTATCTTTTTATATTCTAACACGTTTCCAAAAATAAGTCTAGCTGTCCATTCTTAGTCTACACCTTATTTGATAACAAAGTCCTATCATTGTCTTCCCTAAAAAAAGACTTATCATTGTCATGTGTTATTCGCAACCTAAATCTAAAAATTATTAAGTTTCGATAGAAATTATGCCAGTTAAATTAACGGCGTGATCATTTGTTCACTTCGAGATAAATTATCCAAATCTTTCAAACATTTTAAATTGGTAGCCAAATCTTTTGAAATATAAAGTATTAGTCAAATCTTTTACCATTCTTTTCTTAACTAAATACTAAAATTTTAGAATGTTAATTATCATGTGTCTCTTCCAAATTATCATCATATTGTCAAGCCAACATTACAACAAAACTGCTAACATGAAGCTAATGTTTGACTAATACTTTATATTTCGAAAGGTTGAACTAATAAATTGTATTTACTCCATTTTTATGGACAAATTGATAAATAAACATATTTGATAAAAATGTATAGCAAATGGACATATTAGTATACCTATAGCCCTTTTAGCTACAAATGTTTCCTTTGTATCCAGAATCCACTCTTCATAATTGGAGGAAGTCAAGACATCACCAACAAGCATTTGATCTAGTCTAATCCCGAATTACTGGGATTAGTCCACGAGAGTAGAGACTCTCCAACTGTAGTTTTTATCATTGATGTTCTTAACAACGACCGAAATAATTACATTATACATACGTAGCCCATTTAACTGTAATCAACTAAGGCTATGTTTTCTATAGGACACATAAACATGGAATTTTACACTACAAACGTTGATAGCATGAACTTCTTTCGTGGATTGGATGGATTCCTTTTTGTGGCTGCAGCTCGCTCCAATTACCTAGGGCTCCACCAATATGGTACATACATGATCTTTTTCTCGACTTGTAAAATAAGTATTGTTATTATCAATCAATAGAAGTTTTGCAAAAATTATTGGATAATGTCTATTTTTTATCCTAATCTTTTTCCGATTCTTTTTTATTAGTCAAACCTATCGAAATACTAAAAATTAGCCAAATGTTAACTTTCAATTAACGGTTTTGTTAGTAATATTGACTTGGCAACATGATACTGACTTGGAAGAGACACATGAATGTCAATATTCCAAAATTTTAGCATTTCAACTAGTAAAAGAGTTACAAAATTATTAACGATAACATAAAAATGGCTAATATTTTGATGCATTACGAAAGATTTGGCTAATTAAAAGCATTTTATAGGTTTGGATAATATAAAAGAATATGAAAATGGTTTGGATAAAAAATAGACATTACCCAAAATAATTTTCACAATGAAGTATGTGGAACATCCTTCAATATAAAATGAGTAATATGAAGCTACGAATGACCTTTTAATGGGAATATTGCGGTTATGCCTCTTTACATTTTGGATGATAAATCGATTTAAAAACGTTTTAGAATATGAAAACAAGTAGTATTGTAGAAAAATAAAAAAAATTAATGTATAATTTTTTTTTTATATCGGACTCACCTTAAGCTAAAGGAGCAGGTTTCGGGTGCTAGTTCTGACGAATACGTTAGTTTTGGGCACCACTTGAGAAGCAATGCACAATCTCGGGTCATAACTCATTTACCTGACCTCCGAATCCATTCCCGTTGGAATCATACACTTGTATTTTCGCCCTCTACATCATCATGATCATGACACGAGACTCATCAAAAGAAACCCCAAATGATATCAAGTGTGCTAAAATAGTCATAGAGGCAATCAAACAAGCAATAACCCAAATAGAGAGAAATAAAATATTGGAATAATCAATAATATTGTCGTAAAAATAAGCGAAATTTAATTAATTATAAAAGAGAAGAATACTATAAGTTGAGTGTCATCACTTTTGCACGTTCGAAGAAGATTAGTTGTGACCAAGAGTGGTGCTCCCTTGACCTACTAACTGGATTCACGCAGCATACCCTAATGGACTCAAAAGATTTCTTCCATAGCAAGCAAAACCAAAAATAGAACCCTAAGAGAAACTGATGATAAAAATGAAAGGAGGTAAATATCTCATCTTTTACCGTTGCAACAATCTTGCCCTGTATGCAAAACCCTACCCGTTCACTTCACGTAATTAAGTTGGTAACATGATATTTAATTCTCAACAAATTTAGGGAAATCGTAATTTAGCTTAAATTAGGCACCTTATCTTTGCTCAATTCCCTGAATTCAGTGGCTTGGAAAACAAAATCTAAAACAGAGCTCTCCTCAACCCCTTGTATTTACTAACCCCTAAATCATCCCTACCTTCTTTCACTTCCTCACAATTTTACGGCTTTTAAAAAAATATCTCAAAGGCCCAAAAAAAAAAAGATTTTTTTTCTCTTTTTCTTCAAAAAATTTCATCTCATTTTCCTCCTCTCAAACATTCATTTTCCAACTACTTTTAACCACCTAAACCAAACAAATTAAGAAAAAGAAATTATGACATTTCGCCTTAAATATCTTCTAGCACTTCTCTAGAAACTCCTGTAAACCTTTGCAGGCAGGATGGCCATGATCGGGAGATCTTCCTCTCTATCCAAACTCCTCCTTCTTGGCCTCCTGTCTCTCCTCATCCTCTTCCTCCCCTCCTCTTCGTCCGCCGTTCGCGTCGCCGCCGTCATAAGCACACCCTCACCCTCCTCATCTCCTCCTAACCTCCCCGAATTTCGGGAGGCCCCGTCCTTTCGAAACGGGGACCAGTGCGGGCCCACTGCATCGATCCACGTGGCGATGACCCTCGACATCAACTACCTAAGGGGAACAATGGCAGCCGTCCTGTCAATGCTCCAGCACTCGACCTGCCCTGAGAACCTCTCCTTCCACTTCCTCTCCGCCCACTCCGAGCCCGAGCTCTCGGCCAGCATCAACCAGACCTTCCCATACCTGGCCTTCAGGATCTACAACTTCAACCCGAACTGGGTCAGGGGCAAGATCTCTCGGTCCATCCGACAGGCCCTCGACCAGCCCCTGAACTACGCCAGGATCTACCTGGCCGACATCCTCCCCTCCGAGGTCGGCCGGGTCATCTACTTCGACTCCGACATCATCGTGGTCGACGACATCGACAAGCTCTGGAACGTCGACATGGAAGGTAAGGTCGTCGCGGCGCCCGAGTACTGCCACGCCAACTTCACCCCGTACTTCACCGACCGGTTCTGGTCCGACCGGAAGTTGGCTGGGACCTTCGAGGGGCGGAGGCCGTGTTACTTCAACACGGGCGTGATGGTGATGGACGTGGAGAAGTGGCGGGAAGGAGGGTACACGAGGAAGGTCGAGGAGTGGATGGCGGTTCAGAAGCGAGAGAGGATATACCATCTGGGCTCCCTGCCGCCGTTCTTGCTGGTCCTGGCCGGGAACATCAAGGCCGTGGATCACCGGTGGAACCAGCATGGGCTCGGCGGGGATAACTTTGAAGGAAAATGCAGGAATCTGCACCCGGGGCCGATCAGCCTTCTACATTGGAGCGGGAAAGGGAAGCCGTGGCTGAGGCTCGATTCGAGGAAGCCGTGCATTGTGGATTATCTGTGGGCTCCTTATGATCTCTACCGCTCCTCCAAGCATGCTTTGGAAGAGTGAATTCGGTTTCAAGTTTCAACGTTGGGTTGGAGATGAGAGGGAGCTACATGCATGCATTGTTGAAAAGGTGAGGAGTACTCTTGGGGAAAATCTCTTGCGTAAATTGGGAATTAGGTTCTTATTATTCTGACCTTAATCTTATAATATGATGATGAAAAACGAGTTGGGGGTATTCTTAGTATTATCTATATGTTATACTAAATACTGGGAGAAAAAGGATCTATAGAAACCCTAATTTTTATTCGGGAATTTTCTTCGAGTAGTCTTTACCTCTCTTGAGGGTTTTGTATGTACATTTTGATGTTCTTTCTCTTCTTCCATATATGAAAAGCTTCATCCAATGATGAAATTGATTTGAATTAGTTGGCTTGTAGAACATAAATAGTATGGTACGATTGTTAGTCTAAAATTTTGAACATCCATAACGTTGTTTTTTCTTCTTCTTCTTCTTCCTATTTCTGTTTCTGTTTAGTTTTTTTTTCCTTTCATTCAATTTGTATATTTCACACCTTTTTTTCATTCTTTCCGCTTTGTTTGATTAGGTTGAATTTGTAAAAACGATTGAAGCCCAGGCAAAAAAGAAAATTGTTTGCGTCCTTTCCCTCCCTTCAAAACTATAAAAAAGAAAGAAAATTGTTAACTGAGAACAGTCAATTCTCCGGAATCTGGAACTGCAAAACTCAGGAAGGAATCTCAACCAAATTGTCGTCTCAAAACCATATGAATGAAGCCTATGTACACAACAGGGTAACCTACTATCTAGGTGTATGAGGATAACCTGAGAAGTAGCGATCGCTCCACCGCAGGATGAGGAAGCGAGGTTCGAGTAAAGAAGAACCTTCCACTTGTTCTTTCAGAAGATAATCACATTTCAAAGATGACTTTCCCAACGTGTTCCACAGAATGTAATCACCACAAATAACCTGTAATGATATAGGAGAGACGATTAGTCGATGTCTTTTGTTTTCATGCCCAGTTGGCATTTAAGGGCATGAAACAAACCAAAGTTTGTTTTTTTCTTTTTCCTTCTCAAAAACACAACTTGAGCTCTAGTAATGGATATGGCTCTAAAAAACTTTTTGTATAATCATTCAACTCGGATTTCAGTGGAAGGAAGATAAACTCATCAGAAGAGTAGAGAACTCCACCAGGGCTTTCCCAGATGGATAGATACTCACCTGTATCAAGCATTGAATACAAGAGATTCTTATTTAGCACAAAAAAGAACTGAAGGAAGACTGCCTCATGATCATGACAGATGATGTATGCTTTCAAGAGATTATTTATTTTTTATGAATTAGTTAATTTTATATCATAAAAAAACCACAAGTACTGTTGGCAACAACCCTGCCAATGTGTAACCACAAGCAACTTTACATTTTTAAAGAACTCTATGTAAAAGTGTATCCCCTGTGTACTAGTTACCACAATATATCCTAAACAAACTCATTCTATTCATTTCCAAGGCCGAAGAACTCAGTAACAGAGTCACCAAAAAATATTTGAACATCATTCTTCGTCTGCCCAATCACAACCTCTTGATAAAAAACAGAAACTTGAAAAGTAAATAATGAAAACTCAGATAAGCACATCAAACAATATCTCCTACGAGAACATGCATTATCAAGCATAGACATAATCAAGAACTGGCATACACTTCAAGTAAAACACATATTTAAAACTCATAAGGCAAATACTTCAAAAATCGTAAGGCGTAGAATTTACCTCCTTTACAGTCACCTTAAAACCGTCGAAACCACCTCTTTTTCTGATCCAAAATTCCATGAAACACTTCCATTAAATTCTCCTCGCCTCCATGATCACGTAGGCGCCAACGGTTCCTCGTTTGGACGTCAAACGAACAAGATATGACCAAAATACGAATTTGGTCAGATTCCAAAATACTAGGTACCAAATCCATAATTTTCTAAGTCAACACTATTGACCCTGGCCCTTCTGAAAAATTACAAAATCAATCCCATAAATTTTCGAATTACCGGGAATGGTACCTAAACTTTGACATATTCTTTTCCAAACTTCGGAGACTCGGTTCTCCCTCATCCGACGTCCGAATTCGATTTTGTCGACACTGTGACGCTCCTACGATTTCCCTCTTCATGATGGTACACATATTTCGAAGCTTTATTGAAGTCGACTATGTCGGAGTCGCCGACGTACCTTTTCCGATGAACCTCCGTAACCTTCCGTGAGTATATGGTTCATGGATTGGGGTTAGCTTACGACCGATTCAAGCCACAAATAGATTGAATTCAGATTCCTTACCTTCGTGATTGTGATTCCTACGAACTCGGAAGGATTGATCGGCCGGCGGAGTAGCAATCGGTGACAATGTCACCCTCTCTCTCTCTCCCGCTAGTGATTGTCGAAAGCAGCTGCAGGGACGAGCTGAAAGAGAGACTTACTGCTGAGCCCTGGGTGGAACTTATGATTTTCTTGCTCCTCTCGATTACGGTGGGGAAAAACTATAACGGGGAAGAGCGACGCTTAACGTGGAAAAATAAAGACACGTCGGGGAGGGATGGGGGTTACGTAACTTGTAACAGTTTTTGGATTTATTCCTTCCTTTTCTTATCTCTCTTTTTGCTGCCAATGGGAAGAACAATGCGGCTGATGATGATGACCTTAGTAATCATAAAGGATTTGGTAAAGGGATCGTTTGGTTAGGGAGGAATTGGTAGGTTGAAGCGATGATGGGGATTATGATAATAATAATAATTATTAATTAATTATTAATTAATTAATAGCGCAAGTGTAATGCACTATTCCTCACGAAAAAATCTCTGCAGGTATACTGTTCATTAGGCTATAATTAGTTGTGGCCGTAACCACGCAAATTTAAGCAGACAAGCGAAGTCTCCTTTTCTTCTCCCTGCAGCACTTTTATAACCACTATGTATTATCATAACCATCAAGTGAAGCCAAGAGAAGGGTTTTTTTAAGTGCCAAGCAAAGTTTATAGAGGCAAAAATATTCTGTGAGATTCCCAATTCCTTAGGGCTTTTTAGAGCTAATGAAATGTAATTACTAAAACACTACGTTAATTATATAGTAGGACTTACAAAATCATATCGTATTGGCGATATAATTTTAAAATCCTTGATTTATATAAAGATAGATATTTTTTTATGTAACAATTAAAACGTTAATTATATAGTAGGACTTACAAAATCGTATCGTATTGGCAATATAATTTTAAAATCCTTGATTTATATAAGGATAGATATTTTTTATGTAACAATTAAATAAATTTATTATGTATATCAGCCTAATATAAGTTTGAATGTACCAGATTTCGTTATTATTAACGAAAATAGTTATGAAAATACTATGTAAGGTCAATTAGCTTTTATATAACAGTTTGATATCATGTGATGGTATTTGTAACTTGATTCTATAATTAGACCACACATTCAGAAGATTTATGGTACGTCATTCTATAATAGTTATGTAAAACATATAGAGTATAATTTATATAACTTAATTTGTTTACTATTAACTAAAATATTCAAAATTTCATCACTCTCATTACTCAAAGATTTTGCAAAGTAAGTTAAGTTTTACATAACACTTTCAAAAATATGTGATACTTCTATAAGTGGATTTTATTATTAGACCACAATTTGCGTATATTTACACTGCCATATAGCAATTATGCAAATTAAAAATATTTTATGAAAAACTTATGGAACTATAGTTACTTCTTAAATATAAATTAAACAAACGTAATACGTAAGTAAATTATGATATAAATTTGAACATAAATTTCTTTATTAATTACTAAGTGGTTGATCATCTCACCAATTTACATTATACGAAAATTATGTATGTTATTTTTTACATTATATTTTAATCAAATATGATATTTTTTATCTTAATTACTATATTACTAACTAAATTTCCTTCGTTATTAATAAAATATTCACCATGTATCAATTTGCTTTACACAAATGTTTTTAAAGGTGAATTAACTAATACACAACAGTTTAATAAAATGTGATACTAACTTAATTTTATTATTAGTCCACACATTACAGAAGTTGTACGTAACACTGTTCTATAACCTTTATGAAAGTTACAAACGTATTGTGTAAAACTTATGGAGGAATGTTTATTTGTTGTGCATCGATTAAACAAACTTATTACGTAAGTCTTTCATAATGATCAAGACACTACGTAATGCTTATTAAGTAATAAAAAATTTCCTCATGCATCAACTAAACAAATGTATTACGTAAGTAAGTTTTTTTGTAGTGATTAAGACAATAAGAAAAACTTATTGAGAAATAGTTATTTCTCATATCAATTAAAACAAATATATGATCCCATGGTAGGAAATGCGTCCCAATTCCTTACCGCATATTACCCGGCGTCACTTCGTCCCCTTTACCCCAACTAATACCATGATGCAAGTATTTCGTAATGATTAAGACCATTATGTAAAACTCATGAAAGTATCTAACATGAACGATTTTGTGAATTATTTGATTTCAATTAAATTATTAAATAAATGAATAAAATTTAAAATATAATTAGTTATTTATCGCTGCGGAGCGCGAGCCAAAAAACTAGTAATAATGATAATAGTAACAATGTGTTGTTGTTGAAGGGGAAAGGGAGGGTGTTGGTGTTTATGATGATGATAATAATAATCATAGTTATTATTATTATTATATCTAATCTATGGTTGAAACCTTCGTACGTAATTGTCGATCCAATCTTTCGGTCGAACCTAGACCTAAATGTCGGGGTGTAACAATACGTCACAGTAGCCACACCGGTAGTCAACTCACCATTTGACGTCTCTCACATCATCTTGGTGTCCTCTCCATTAGTCACGGTCGCTGCCGAAAGAAGAGCTGATGTCCACTTCGGCCTTCACCTTCGGATCCGAATTGTTGCAGCCTCTGTTCCTTTCGTAGTTCGATGGCGAAGTCCTGCCCGCCATCGAGTACGAGATCTCTAGTCAACTGCCATGCCCATCATCGACTATGCTCTTGTTATCGATCATCGTCCTAGTCACTCCCGACCATCCTCATCGCTAGTCGTCGGACGACGAGGATGCTAAGAGGAATGGCGGCGAGAAGGTTTGTTTTGGATCCAAGTCGGCGTCAACAAGGCCGCCAAGTTTTGAGCTGCTTCCTCAAGTACGAAGAAGAGTCAAGCTCGAAAACTGTTGGTGTGTCGCCATTACAATTTCATCGTAGCCAGTACGTCGCCGCCGTGTGCACGTCCATGTCTGGCCGTCGTCGTACATAAGTGTTTCAAACCCTCGTCCAATCAACGGCCACGTTAGGCCATATACAAAGTGATTGTTTGTGTTTTTTCGAGAAGCCTTGTCACTGCGGCGGGGTTGTCTTCATCAAGCTCATGGGAGTCCAACGTCAGTCATAAATTGTTGCATTCAAAGTCAACAATTATCGAATCTCCTTCCGCAAATTGGTTTTGCCATTGCACACGTAGTCACAAAGATTCGTCCAGCTAGCTAGGTTTTCTGACTGGTGTTCAATGTAAAGCTCAGTTCAGCCGTCGCCGGTCAACTTTGCTTGTCGGCTATCCAATTCTCTTCGGATTCACAATATGCGGTTTCTTATTGCTTCTCTCTAGGAATAAGTTGCCGCTCCGAATGGTTATTGACAAGTCAGTATCTCAGACGCTACCATCATCAACGACTAGGTTCAGTGGAAGGTAGCCATCGTCATTGTGTTTTGGCGTGAAGTTTTGTCATGGTTGCTGTCAAGTAGTACAACGAGGTAGTCACTATTCAAGTAGAGATCGTCCCCTCAATATTTAGAATCGATCATTTTTCACCATTCCGACTGTCAAGTTAGGCATTCACGTCATTCCTGCGTTCTCTTGAGGAGGAGAATAGGGAGTCAACATACGTCGGTCGACTAGCACAGTCATCAAGTTGACCGCGATGTATCAAGTCAGTCAAGTTGCTCGGAGAAGCATGATCAACAGTTCAGTTAGAAGTCTCCAAATTCAGCAACGCACTCATCAATCTCCGATCTCATCCAAGACGTTAGGTAATTCCGCCATGTTGAGTTGACTATGAAGAACTGGTTCAAGCATGGAGTAGGATCAGTCTCATCCCAGACATCAAGCAATTTCGTCATGATGAGTTCACTGTCAAAAGAACTGGGTCAAGCATGGAGTACCTTCATCATTTGTCTATCTCTCCCGCAAGTGAACAAAGTCACAGCCTGTTGGATCACGCTTGTCAGCAAGAGGTTGTTTGTGTGTTGCTCAGTTTCAATCTCGACATTCATATCATTCATGTCTTCGCTTGAGTGGGAGTATTGAGGTTACCAGTTCCCTTGTCGTTGTTATCTTCAAGAGTCCTTGTTATAGTCATATATGGTTTAGTTTACTTGCTTGTCAAGCCAAGAATCTCAGTTGTGCAAGGGTTTAAACCTATGTATTGTCTATTTAAAGGGCTAAGCTACCAAGTCTTGTGGTATGCTAGCAAGATGTAGTTGTATAATAAAATCGTCAACCGTGAACTCTTCCGAGCTCACCGTAGATTAGTCCTGTCCACGTCGAATAGGGATACCTCATAAAACTCTTACGTTTTGTGTCATTTCAATCTTCCGATAATCAAAATTTTCAAACTCGGCAGAAAGCGCCTAACAACACCGGAACATCCATAGCACGAAAGGAACGCATCCGGGAAAATGCCATGAACATCGCCTCAACCGAACTGCCAAACTTGAGCTCACGGAAGCTCGAGAGACATGCCTCGAGAAAACAATGGTGTCAAAGTTGTTCAAGATCCACAGAGCTCTCATGCCACAACCACCGGGCATTGCCTTCTCTCTACCTGCTCCGTTCCGCGAGAGCTACTGTTCATCAGTGGAGCGGTTTGTCGAGGAACGACTACTGAGGATTCACTAGACAGGGAGTTACCAGAGCAAGAAAAGATCGCGTAATCCTGCGTAGAGGGAAAGAGAAGAAGAAGAAGAGTTTGCTTCCCCGGCTTCGTTTAAGAGACTTCTCCCCCGGGCGGTGTCACAGACATAGACTTCTGAAGCCCGTGCGGCATCCTGAGGTGCACTCAATCCTCAAGAACAACCTCTCCGCATACACATGCCAACAGATTTCGCCCTGCCTTGGGCTCATCAGGGAGACGACAATAACCTCCGACCAGTTGTGCCTTCTCTTACAATGATCCCCTTCATAGTCACATCCTAACTCAGCCAGAACGATGCACAGGCAGACAACGACTTATCGCTGGATTCGCCCACCCTTTACCTCTCTTGTGGCAAGACAACCAGATGACAACATTCTTCAGACGATCACCACGGTCACGACATTTCAGGTCGTGACATTCTCCACCACTCATAATGCAGCACGCCCTCGTGCTGGTGAAGAATGCTTCTCTCCAGAGCATGTATTGCGACACTCGAACTGATTGTGGGCCTTCGCATACGATACCATCCTCTGATGGATAGGCTCCATTCGCATCTCTCGCGCTAGCCTGCTTTGCACCGTGCACATACCACTTCGCCCCTCGATATCAACCTTCACTCTTCGCTTCTGCTGCGCTAGTACCTCAGTCAACCTTCACCTTACGCTTCTTCCATCGTTTGTACCTCAATCGACCTTCACCCTAAGCTCACGCTAGCGTTAGTTCCTCGGTTGAACGGCATTCTCGGTCGCTGCTTCTCTCCAGCCTATCGAGGTCTCTCACAACGGTGCTACACATGTGTAACTGTGTCCGGATCGCCTGATGCACACCCAGGACCGCCTCTCATTCTGGCATAGGATCGGCCCATACTCGACCTACGCCGTATTGAGAGAGGAACTAGGCTCTTCAGCCTAACCAGGATCTGATACCACTTGTCACGGACATAGATTTCCAAAGCCCGTGTGGCGTCTTGAGGTGCACTCAATCCTCAAGACCAGCCTCTCTGCATATGCATGCCAACTTGTTTCGCCATGCCTTGCGCTCATCAGGGAGACGACAATAGCCTCCGACCATTTGTGCCTTCTCTTGCAACGATCCCCTTCATAGCCACATCATGACTCGGCCAGAATGATGCACCGAAAGACAACGCCTTATCGCTAGTGTCCCCACCCTTTACCCCTCTTGTGGCAAGACAACCAGATGTCAGCATTCTTCAGACGATGAACGCGGTCACGACATTTCTGGTCGTGACATTCTCCAACACTCATAATGCAGCACGCCCTCGTGCTGGTGAAGAATGCTTCTCTCCAGAGCATGTATTGCAACACTCGAACCGATTTTGGGCCTTCCCATATGATATCATCCTCTGATGGACAGGCTCCGTTCGCATCTCTCGCGTTAGGATGCTGTGCACCACTTACATACCGCTTCGCCCTTCGACATCAACCTTCACTCTTCCCTTCTGCTGCACTAGTACCTCATTCAACCTTCACCCTACGCTTCTCCTAGCATTTTTACCTCAATTGACCTTCATCCTACGGTCTTGCTAGCGTTAGTTCCTCGGTTGAACGACATTCTTGGTTGATGCTTCTCTCCAGACTGTCGAGGTCTCCCACAATGGCGCGACACATATGTTTCTACGTCCAGACCATCTGATGCACACCCATGACCGCCTCTTATTCTGGCATAGGATCGGCCCATACTTGACCTACGCCATACTGAGAGAGGAACTAGGCTCTTCAGCCTAACCAGAGTCTGATACCACTTGTCACGGACATAGACTTCCGAAGCCTGTGCAGCGTCTTGAGGTGCACTCAGTCCTCAAGACCAGCCTTTCCACATACGCATATCAACTGGTTTCGCCCTGCCTTGGGCTCAGGGAGACGACAATAGCCTCCAACCAGTTGTGCATTCTCTTGCAACGATCACCTTCATAGCCACATCCTGACTCGACCTGAATGATGCATAGAAAGACAAAGCTTTATCTCTAGAGTCGCCCACCCTTTACTTCTCTTGTGGCAAGACAACCAGATGTCAGCGTTCTTCAGACGATCAACACGGTCACGACATTCCGGGTCGTGACATTCTCCACCACTCATAATGCAGCACGCCCTCGTGCTGGTGAAGAATGCTTCTCTCAAGAGCATGTATTGCAACACTCGAACCGATTGTTGGCCTTCGCATACGATATCATCCTCTGATGGACAGACTCCGTTTGCATCTCTCGCGCTAGCTTGCTGTGCAACGCGCACATACAGCTTCGCCCCTCGACATCAACCTTCACTCTTCGCTTCTGTTTTGCTAGTACCTCAGTCGACCTTCACCCTACGCTTCTCCCAACGTTTGTACCTCAATTGACCTTCACCCTACGCTCTCGCTAGCGTTAGTTCCTCGGTTGAACGACATTCTTGGTTGTTGCTTCTCTCCAGTCTGTTGAGGTCTCCCACAACCGCGCAACACATGTGTATCTGCGTCCGGACCGCCTGATGCACACCCATGACCACCTCTCATTCTGGCATAGGATCGACCCATACTCGACCTATGCCGTACTGAGAGAGGAACTAGGCTCTTCGGCCTAACCAGGCTCTGATACCACTTGTCACGGACATAGACTTTCGAAGCCCGTGCGACGTCTTGAGGTGCACTCAATCCTCAAGACCAGCCTCTCCGCATACGCATGTCAACTGGTTTCGTCCTGTCTTGAGCTCATAAGGGAGACGACAATAGCCTCCGACCAGTTGTGTCTTCTCTTGCAAGGATCTCCTTCATAGCCACATCCTGACTCGGTCAGAATGATGCATAGGCAGACAACGCCTTATCGCTAGAGTCGCCCACCCTTTACCCTCTTCTGGCAAGACAACCAGATGACTGCGTTTTTCAGATGATCAACACGATCACGATATTCCGGATCGTGACAGCGGGCTCTGGCAAATGGGGGAAATTACGCGTGCAATTAACTAACTAGCATGTGATTAGTGGGAGATTTGCACCCGATTTCTATGTAACTAGCAGAGATTTTGGATTACCGTTAACTAGTTAAACTTTCTAATATAATTATGGTTTCTTACATTCAATATAAAAATGACATTAAGTAGAACGATACTATTAAGTTTGGTTGTCAAACCAGTGACATGAGTCACATGACACTGATCATTACAACTGAATTCAACCGGTAATGGACACAAAACCGAAGATAGAGCTACCTTCTTGGTAATACAATAAAAAAAAACTTCATAGAGCTAAGTAAAAATGTTTCCCCTCATATACACGCTTCCAATGTTCGAGCCAATTGGGTCGCCCGATTAAATGCAAAACACCAACTACCGGCTACCGCAAGATTGGATCACCATTAAGAGTAACCGGGACTGAGTTCTCAACAAAATATACACACTTTCAACACCCTGACTACCTGGCTATACAAGACTCTGTTCCCCCGTACATTCTACTACAGATCGATACATAGGTAGGAGATGACAGAGCCTGCTCTGCGCTTGGTCGTCTCGCTCACCTTCCACTTCTCCACCAGTACCTTCGTCATGTTTGGGCAATGGGAGACCAACGTGGCGATCCCCGCGGCGGTTACCCCAGGGCAGTAAACCGCGTGGCAGGATTCCAGCATGGCGCAGTGTCTGACGAGGTGGTAGAGGCCGACGTCGGTTACCTGACGACACTGTGAGATTACTATCTCTTTCAGAGCTGGACAGCCCTCTCCTAGCTCGGCAAGCGCCATGTCACCTAGATTCTGTGCACAATGATTGAACCCCCCACCATTCGTGAATGTGACTATGGGGAAGTAGTGAGACGGGAGATTGGATTCATATATATACCTGAAGCATGCTCACGTCGAGGTAGCTGAGATCAGGACAGCCTCTTGCGATCGCTATGATTCCGGCATCGCCTATTTGATGGCAGCCACTAACGTTTAGGGTTTGGAGGGAGTGACACTGGGCAATGGAAACAAGGGCCTCATCTCCCACCCTGACCAACATCACAAAGATAACATGGAAATTTATTGAGTGGTGTATTCTATATAACTAGCACCACAGGAGTATTCACTGTTGAATTTATGCGAACATGATGGGTAACCCCTGGTGTTTGCTATGGTTTAGATTATGCTAACAGAAACAGAACAGCTCAATGAGCACTGACAGATCGACACGGGGATGGGAAAGAAGTACAGAGGGTTTCACCGGGGGAAGGTAAGGTGAAAAGTAGTTTTACCTTTCACAAAATCTAAGGCTAAGATCCGCAAGTGATTTGCAGTTCTCACCAATGGCCATAATACCTCTGTTCCCAACCTGTGGGAAATAGATGTTAAACAAAGAGAATGTTGTAAGAAAATCAAGAGCCGCCTGAAAGACCAATCCAACTAACTTAGCAGCTGGGTTTTGATTAATAAGTGAAGCTCGAAAAAATCAAAAGATTACTCAATAGGAAAGAAACATTCACACTCTGACAATGAGGAAAAGTTCATCCTACACTATAACTTCCAAATTTTCAACACCAAACAACCATCAAACAAAGGATCCAAGGCCAATCCTTTATCTTTATCCAGCATTTCATTAAAGGGTAAAAGACAGATGAATCCAACCTACTTCAGAATCATCAGAGAAAGGAAGTTTGAATGTACAATAAATGTAATATGACCGATTCAGAGAGTTCAGCAGAGAGAAAGGGAGAGAACTCCTAGAAATAGGATTTTGTCGAGGAGAGACCTCATAACACCGACGAATATGAAGTTTCCTCAAATTTGTGCATCCCATAGCTAGGCTACAAATGGCATCATCTCCAATGCTAGAACAATGTACCAAGTGAAGGACCTCCAAGAACTTACAGCCCTTTCCAATTTCAAGAAGAGCATTAGCACCGATCCGTTGGCAGTATGACAAAGCCAACTCAGTGAGACGCCTGCAACAAGTTGAAACTAATGTGTAAGAAGGCAAAGCTGCAAAAGGGGTGTATCGTAGGTGATAAGATACAAGCAGCACACGATAAACTAAATTCGGAGGAACGCAGAAAAAGGGTGAGAGCACATACGTGCATGATCGTCCAATGGCTTCCAATCCCATGGTTCCAATATTGAGACACCCATTAATTTCAAGATGTGTGAGTTCTTTACAACCCGTGGCAATCGATCCTAAACCCTGGTCACTGAGGAAGTAGCAGTCGCGAAGAGTAAGATTTTTCAACATCTCACATCCAGCTCCAATAGCACACAAACCTCTGAAACATAAAGTAGAACTGTCAAATCTCATGACTCGTGCCATATGGGTGTTGTAGTGAGATTCTTAAGAACCCAATACAAATCAATCTGAATTTTTCTAATTTCTTCATGGCCTAAAACTTCTAGCATAGAAAAGATAGAACCAAGACACAAATCAAACTTAGTAAGCTGCACGTTACCAAAAAGCTTATTAAGACAGAACTACTTTTCCAGGATAGACCAAGTAAAAAGAAGGAAAAGATAGCTAACCTGTCCGTAAATCGATTGTACAAAGCCAACGCCTCCAGTGAAGAACAATACTTTCCTACAGCTATAAGAGCATCATCAGTAACATTAATGCATTGCAGCTTCAAGACTTTCAGAAGAGGGCATCCTTCGGCAATGGCAAGAACCCCATCATTGTAAATGAATTCAGAATCCAGTGACAGTGTTTCCAGGGATTTGCAGTGGGAAGCCACTGCTACCAACGATTTATCTGTTATCTTTGCACAAGCTGCAACCCCAAGACTCTTTAGCGAGTTCGAGCAGCCTTCAGCTAGCTCGACCAGACCCACGTCACTCAACCCTTCACAAAAGCGCAAATTTAGTTCTTGTAATTGCTTAGAGCACCTACCAATAGCGGCCAGGCCCCCATCGCCAACATAGCAACCCTAAGGGAGGAAGGAAACATTATTACTAGTTGTAGAAAAGGTTTATGTTCCCATCCTGTTGTCAGAAGCAGACTTCTGAAGGTACCAAGGACAATCAAAGCATACAAACCATAGCCCAGATCATTGTAATTCAAAAAATTGCGGCGACATTGATCAGCATGCTCGAGATGCACATTCAAGAGAAGCGGAATAAAAACATCGACTAATGTAGTAAACAACTTGAAGACCGACCAAACTAGAATCACCCATAGCACATTCTATCTAAAGTATATGTTCAAGGTGATCAAAGTAGAAGGTGGGTACCTGCAAATCCAGAGATTTCAAGAGCGAGCATTTATGGGAAAGAGAGACTAAACCCAGACTTGAAACATTGGAGCACCAGAATAAGCTCAAACGTTCAAGAGCTGGGAATTGATCACCGATTGTAATCAATCCAAGGTCAGAAAAACTGCAGGAATCAAACTGTTCGGCTTCAGACATGTCCTCTTGAAACACGCCGTGCAGCTTGAGATTAGATGATCCGGCTGGGAATTCATTGGTGCATTTGCTTCTCTTCCGCCCCTGCAGCATTAACGCTTCAAAATCAACATCCAGAGAAGGAATGCGACGCGATTGAAGAGCTTAATCACCAATTGGAGATCAAAATCCAGATAGCAAAACCGTACAAGCTGGGAGGGAAGAGGAATGGAGAGGCGCTCGTCGATGTGGATGGTTTTGATATTGGGGAAACGGGTGGAGTGTAAGTGGATGAAGAATTCGGGGTTGCCCGAAGCGCCAATCCGGAGAGTAGTCCGGCCGAGGCGCTCTAAGGAGAGCCACCGCTTGCAGACGAGGGAGCAGGCGTCGCGGGTGTGCTTGGAATCGAGGTGACGGAATATCTCGAGGATGATTTCGTCGATAAGGAGGGCGTTGATCCAATATTGGCCTCGCATGACTTTCGTTCGGGGAGACATTCGGTAGTCGGAGAAGCCGCAAGTAGGCCGGGAAATGAGAATTTGGGTCCGCCGGAGAAGAGCGCCGAGCGCGGGAGTTGTGGTAGAAAAGGGTAGAAGAAAATTGGGATGTAGGTAAATTTTGGTAAATTCGATAAGAAAAACAGTACAGTTGATTGTACTAGCCTGTACCCGGCCGGTTGGCCGTAAGATTTGAGTTGATTATTTAATAAAAAATCTCAACTAATATTTTTTTAAGGATTCTCAATTGAATATTTTATTCGTAAATTTTTTAAGTCTTGAGTACGTTTTTCAGTTATGTCATGGTATTCTCATCCCTCTTGTGCATTAAGAAAAAAACCCATATCTTTTCAAAATTAATGTCCTTCGATCACCTAAATTCAAGAATTATAAGTTGGGCTATGCACCTGTATAACTTAAATAGATTTTCGACTCCATGATGGCTAGCAAAGAAGTTAAGTGCTACATTTGATTTGGTTCAACTTCCCCCTCTAAAAGAATTGTTAAAAAAAAAAAACTCTATGAGAGGAGCTCTCTCCTCTCTCATCTCCGTTGGGTGCTTCGTCGGCCGTTGCCTGGTGACGGGGCTCCTCAAGCTACTCTCGAGCTGTTTAATTAATCAGGACTTATCTCCAATCGGTGGGGAGATACGAGCCCATGGCCAAAGCTATGTGGGTAAGGTGCAATCGGAAAAGCGTCCGGGAGGAAAATTAAATCGCAAGGGTGGAGAGACTGAGCGGAGCTATTGCTTCCGGTGCAGTGATGGGGACGGCGAGTGTCGATCCGAGTGTCGGATTCGAAAACGTCCCCCAGATGAAGAAAAGCCGACCGCCGCGGCTAGTATGCCATCAAAGAGGCCCAGGTTGGAGAGAATGGTTATGTGGCGTTTCTCTCTACCGCCGCCGATGGAAAGCAACGTGGATCGTGTGACGGAGCTAGGTGGCTCCAATGCATGCAACGACACCGCTCAACTGAGGGAAAACTCGGGAGTGGGATGCGATAACGGGGACGCATGGTGTGTTGGAGATGCGGTGGGAATGGAACGGGAGGCGGATGCCGCACCCCCTTGCCTGCCGGCGTCCATCGACGGAGTGCATGCATCTGCTTCCCCGAGAAATCCGCGAAATCTTGACGGATCGGATACCAAAGGGATTCGCAATATTCCGATATCCTCGTTGAACGTATCCGGAACTTGGGAGAAGTTCTTGGATATGGTTAATAAAAAAACAAAAAATACAAAAAAATCAAGTGACAGCAGGAGACCTAATTCTATTCCAAATAGGTATTTCTTATGCCGTGTTGAGAGTCTGGCTCTGGGGAGGAGGCAAGACTTGCCCTATATATTTACCCTCTCCCCGACTGCATGCTTACACCCAAAGCTAGCAAAGTTTCAGTCGGAGGATTTGGGAGTTCAGGGACGTCTAAACCAGTGTCAACTTTCAGTACACGGTAAGCTTCTTGAGGAGAGGATGAGTAGTGATGCTCGGCTCCCTCATAAAACCTTTCCCTTATTATCTTTTCATGCTCTACGGCTAAGGGTCTCCGCCCAATGCCCTGCCCTGAGTGTTCTCGATGGCTGTTTGGGAACACCTGTGCAGGTGACTATGCGAACTGACCCCCCGAATTTGCTGCAGGGGCAAACAATGGCCAAGGTCACGGACGACCAGATTGTTCAATTTTCGCTCGCTGAAGTCCAGCCAGCGAAGTATCGTAGCGCGCGGACATTGCTGGGCAGAATCTTCTCGGAGGAGTTGTTCACGCTAAAGGAGATACGGGAGGCTCTCAATGGTCCGTGGCAAGGGAAAGGAAGATTCCAAGTCCGTGAAGCCAGGCATGGCCTGTTTGAGTTCATACTCCCCAATGAAGCGGCTCGGGACTGGGTCCTCGCGCGAACTCCATGGGTAGTCAAGGACAGAGTGCTGCACCTGCGCGCATGGACCCCGAACGTCACCAAACGGACGTATGATGGCTTGGCTATTGTCCCGTTTGGCATCCAGCTTTGGGAGGTGTTGGAGGACTGCTGCACTCCCCAATTCGGCCGAAAGATGATCAGCGCGGCTATGGGGGAGGTCCTCGAGGCTGGTGTCTTCACACACCAAAAAACGGGCGCAGTGTTCGTGAAAGTTCGGGCATTGATAGATGTAACGAAGCCGCTGCGATCACAGCTGATGGCAACAAATGAGGAGACAGGATGCTTCTGGGTAGCTCTCAAATATGAGCACCTCCCGAGCTTCTGTTTTCGATGTGGGAGACTAGGGCATCTACAACGGGAATGCAACTTCGATCCCCCCCTCGGAAGGAGAAGTACGGAATCCATATGACCACGAAACAATTGGGCACCAAGCTTTATGCTGCCGATGATGATAGTCCTCCGTTCCGTGGTCACCCATCTTCGGTTTGGGTCAACAAGGAGTTTTGTACGCAAGAAAACAAAGGGAGGCAGATAGCGGCCAGGAAACCGGACCATGAAGGGGTATTGGGAGGATCTGTCCACCCAGAAGCAACCCGTCCCCACCAATCTGATGTGGGGCGCCTGGAGGTCCATCGGGGTGAAGAGAGGAGCCCAGCCGTGAGGCGAAGAAGCCCCAGGGGATTTGTGCTATCAAAGCCAGTGCGTACTCCCCGGGGTGTACGAAGAGGTGTAGCAACGCGGGAGTTGGCAGCTGCTTCGATGGGGGAGGGGAAAAGCCACCAAGTACAAGATGCAGATAGGAATCGCGCCCGGGTCGAGGAAGATGATAGTGTGCTGCGGAGGAAGAACGGGCCGAAGGGTGTTCGGGATCGACCGGGGCCAAAGGAAGGGGCTGTTCGGAGCAGAAAGGGACCGAGGGAGGTGATGCGGTCGTCTCCGCCACCACCGCACCGTCGCCGACTGCTGCTACCGGAGTCTGACGATGAACTTCAGCAGGTAAAGGAGGCTCCTCGCGGTACTAGAGGACGAAAGAAAGATTACCAAGCCCAGCCTTTGGGTTCGACTACTCCGATAGCTCCGAAGGAGAATCTGCCATCGGAAGGGGTAGTTAGCCGAGCTGTGGCTGCTCCGAGGCGCCGCCACCTACGCAAGGCCCAGGGGGAAGACTTGACGGATCGGGAGGCTGTCCCGGTACCAGTGAGCCGCCCGCTTACTCGCAAGGAAAAAGGGAAAATGAAGATGGTGGAGTCTGCTTCGGAGGAGTGGGAGCCGGCTTTTGAGCCTAGGGAAGTGAGCCGTACCCCACAAGGCAATGGGGGAGGTGATGAAGGGAAGGCCATTTCTAGTAATGATTCGGAAACCACCTTGTCGGAAGGAGTGGACTGTTTTGTGGTCCAAAGCCGATGCCCCAAGGTGGATCGCCAGAAGGGTTGCTCTGTTCCTGAGGGGCATGTTCGGAATGTAGTGCTCGCCTGGGAAGCTGGGAAAGAGTCAGCTATAGAGGAGAAGGTCTCCCCGGGGCGTCCAAATTCCTTGAGGGATCACTGCTCACTGGACGAGTATGGATCAAATGATGCAATCCCTGGGATTGGGAAGAGGAAGAGGGATCTTGAATCGGGAGATGAGGGTCTTGATGGCGACCCTAGCCCTAAAAAGCAATTTGTTGAAGACAATGGAGTGGAAACTGAACAGGTGGAGGAAGCCAGCCGAAAATGGCCCCAACAGGATAAATGAAGCTACTGGCCTGGAATGTGAGAGGAATTGGACCCTCTCTCACATTCCAAACGGCGGTAGGGTTAGTGCGGTCGAATAAACCGGAACTTGTCTTTTTTTCGGAGACAAGGTCTAGCCGGAGAGTTGTTTCCCGTCGTATGCGGGGTTTGGGTTTTCAGTCTCCTTTTTGTTTTTTTGTTGATGCAGTTGATGCATCGGGTGGTCTGGTTGTCGCTTGGTCCCCTGAAGTTGACGCTTCAGTGTTTTCACACTCGAATTTTTACATTTGTACAAGGATTAATGAAAGTCATTTTTCTTATGTGGTGATTGGTGTTTACTTAAGCTGCAATCATTCTATTCGTGCGCAGCAACTGGACGAACTCCGTACTGTTTGTGATGGGATTGAGTTACCTTTTGTGATCATTGGTGATCTTAACACCACGCTTCACGCGGGTGAGAAGGATGGAGGGAATCCCTGGCAGGCTACCCATGCGGTAGCACTGCAGGAGTTCATCCAGTCCCTTGGCCTCCATGATCCTGGTTACCAGGGGGATCAATTCACCTGGACTAACAAAAGGATGGGGGTGGCCAGCATTCGCGAGCGGTTAGACCGTGCTCTTTGCTCACAAAGATGGATTGATTCATTTCCTGACACGCTGGTCAAACATTTTACTGATCAAGGATCGGATCATCGTGCCTTGCTTCTTTCTGATAAACCTTACCCTCGCCATTGTCGGCCGCTATTTCGGTTTGATGCGCGTTGGGCGGAGAATCCGGAGGTCCGAGCTATGGTTAGCTATGTTTGGCAGGAGGAGGTGCATGGGTCACCAATGTTTAGGCTGTGGACACGGTTGAAGAAGCTTCGTCATCTGCTTTATGATTGGAGCAGAGCAGGGACCACCAATTCCTTGAGGAATATAAAATCCCTTCAGACTGAAATTGATCGTGTCAGGCAGCAGGTTCCAATTGACTGGGATACTGTCAAAACATTGGAAACCGAATTAAACCGACAATGGGTTGCAGAGGAAAGCTACTGGCAGCAGAAGTCCAGGGTTATCTGGTTGAAGAAAGGGGATCAGAACACCTCTTATTTCCATACCGTCACGAGAGCCAGGCGCAAACGTAACTTTGTGACTGGGCTCAGGAATGATGCGGGGGAGTGGATAACAGAGGAGAAGGGTAAAGCAGAGATTGCCACTACTTTCTACCAAACCCTTTTTACTTCTGACAACCAGGTTAGTACCATGGAGGCAAGGGTTGAGGCCCTCCCCCTGGATTGTAAAGTCACGGATGCTATGAATGCGAACTTAATTGCGGAAGTCCTTCCGTGCGATGTTCGCCGGACGGTTTTCTCAATGGGTTCAAAACAGGCGCCAGGCTCGGATGGATTCACGGGGAAGTTTTTCAAAGATTATTGGGACATTGTAGGTGCGTCTGTGGTTGAGGCTGTCCGCTCGTTCTTCCAGACGAGTAGGATCTTGCGAAGTTTCAACCATACCTGGCTTACCTTGATCCCCAAAGTGGATAATGTGGAATCTATACGCCAACTTCGTCCCATCAGTCTCTGCCAATTTGTGTATAAGATTATCACAAAAATCATGACGGAGAGGTTAGCGTGTATACTTCCACAGATAATTTCGGAGGGTCAAAATGCTTTTATCCGAGAAAGGCAGATTGTGGAGAATGTCCTGCTGGGGCATGAGCTTATGCATTACCTAAAAATTAAAAACCGGGGAAAGAAAGGGTATATGGCTCTGAAGGTTGATATGGAAAAAGCCTATGACAGAGTTGAGTGGCCCTTTCTCTTTGCCGTTTTGACAAAGTTAGGTTTTAATCAGACTTGGATTGGGTGGGTTAGAGAGTGTCTACGGACGCCATCTTTCTCGATTATGATGAATGGTACTCCCTATGGGTTTTTTAAACCTACCCGGGGTCTTCGTCAGGGGGATCCGCTCTCCCCTCTACTTTTTGTTTTGTGCACTGAAGGGTTTGCCGCTTTGCTCCGACGTGCTGTCAATGAAGGGAAACTGGAGGGGATTAAGGTGGCCCCCCGCGCCCCGCGGATCTCACATTTGTTTTTCGTGGATGATTCATACTTGTTTCTACGAGGATCACTTTCGCAGTGTGAGAATTTGATCGATGTACTAAATGAGTATGAGGAGCTGAGTGGACAACGGGTGAATTTGGAGAAATCAGCGGTCTGTTTTAGTAAGAATGTGGCCATCCCAGATCAGGAGTTTTTAGCCCAGATTCTGGGCGTGGGCGCGGTGGGAGTGCAGGATAAGTATTTAGGGTTACCAACTCTGATTGCCCAATCCAAGATGGCTACCTTTCGGTATGTGGAAGAGCGTTTGTTAGCTAGGCTGCAAGGGTGGGCTAGACGTACGTTGTCTTTGGCGGCGAAGGAGATACTGCTCAAATCAGTTGCCTCGGCCCTACCTTTGCATGTTATGTCTTGTTTTAAGCTCCCTCTCTCGTTGTGTCGTGCTTTGGATAGACTTGTGGCCAGATTCTGGTGGGGAGTTGAGGATGGACGGACTAGATTGCGGTGGATGTCGTGGAGGAAGATGTGTCGGAGTAAGCATGATGGGGGCATGGGGTTCCGTCGGTTTGAACACTTTAATCAAGCTCTCTTGGCGAAAATCGGGTGGCGCATTCTGGAAGACCCATCCTCCCTTCTGGCGCGGGTGTACAAAGGGAAGTATTTCCCGACTGGGTCCTTCCTCAGTGCTACTGCTCGGTCACGTCCGTCGTGGGGGTGGCAGAGTGTGCTCTATGGGCGGCAGCTCTTGTTGAGGGGTCTCCGGTGGCAGATTGGGAATGGGCGCTCCGTGTCGGCCTTAGAGGACAGCTGGGTTCCGGCATTGCATCCTCAGCCTCCCCTAGCTAACCCACTGGTTCTTCCAAGAGAGGGAATCCTGAAGGTGGCTGATTTGCTGTGCCCAGGGGAAGGCCGTTGGTCGGAAGAAAAGCTGTGCCAGTGGTTTTCTCCGGCTTCGATTAAGGCGATCAAGGCGATTCCCCTGTCGAGGCAAGATATTGGGGATAAATTAATTTGGCACGAGACGGGTGCTGGGGTGTTTTCAGTCAAGTCTGCTTATCACTTGGCCGTCGCAGTTGATGCGCAGCAGGGTCACTGGGGACCCACGGTTAGTTTGATGGACCGTCCAAGCTGGATTCGGTTGTGGGGCCTGCCAATCCCTCCCAAATTAAAGATTTTTTTGTGGCAGGTCATGCATAGGTTCCTACCAACTACGGAGGCTCTCCGCGGGAGGGATGTTATGGTCCATCCCCGTTGTCCGGTGTGTTGGGGGGCGTCTGAAACTATGGAGCATCTTTTTCTGGAATGTCCAGTGGCGAGGAATCTTTGGGAGCTTGCGGGGATGGGTCATCTTGGTGAAGGGCTACCCCGACATTCGTTCCCATTGTTTCTCAAAAAGTTGCTGATGCTCCTCCGCGGCCCTGAGGAAGTAATGGCACTTGTAGCTCTCCTTTGGAGGATTTGGAAGTCCAGGAATTGGGTTGTCTTTGAGGGCAAGCAGTTTGATTTTCCTGCTCTTGTGCGCCAGTTTTGCCATCAGGTTGAGGAATGGCGCTCGTTGCCAGCCCCTAGGGTTGATGGTGCTCCTCGGCTGGATGGAGTAGCCTTGGTTCCTCCTAATCCTGACACTTTAGTGTGCCGGTGGGACGGAGCTACTAGACGGGGGTCTCACTCGGCTGGTGGGATGGTTCTTCTGGATCAAGGTGGGGTTCCCCGAATGGCTTCGGCAGTCCGTTTCCCTGGGATGGATGATCCCATGGTTGTGGAATTACTTACTCTACGTGAGGCCATGATTTGGTGTACCCAGCAGGGGCTTGATCAGGTAAGATTCGAGGGTGATGCTCAGGTGGTGATCAATCGGCTTGCGGAGTACCCAGTGCAGGATAGTCGTGCAGGTGCTATTTTTCAAGAGGTCCAGCGTTATATGGGGGAGCGGGAGGGATTTAGTGTCCGGTTTGTTGGTCGGCGTAGTAATAGGGTAGCCCACTTGGTGGCTCGCAAAGCCCTTTCTTTGTACCCGACGATGAGTCGTTCGTTTGATTTCGTTGCCTGGCTGAGGCACTCGCTGTAATGATCTGTGTTTTGTTATCAATTATTGATTATCTTTTGTCAAAAAAAAAAAAAAGCAAAGAAGTTAAGTGCTTAACTTAACCTTGTAGGCATTTCCTTCCTAAAAAACCTTCATCATTTGACAATGTTTATGTCACGTTATTTTAAGTTTATCATAATTGGCAAACACAAAAAAGTGAACAAAAACTTAACCCTCCTACACTTTCACTTTCTAGAATTAACCAATTAAGAATTATTGAAGATTAATGAAAATCATAAACACTAAATATTACCAAATAGGAAGCAATAAAAAAGGAAAGGGTGGGTTTTAACTAAAAAACTATGCTACATCAAGAATTAATTTAATGAAATGGTCCTTCTTGCATCATGGTGCCGGCCAACGTTATACAAATTAAGTAGAAGGGATGGAAATTGAGACATTCAGGGATTGAGGCACCCAAAATGAGATGGTCCTCGGTAAACACTAAACACCTATTACCTCTACTCTGGCGTTCGGTAAGCAGTCCTCGCATCTGCCGTACGCTGTTGAGTCGTCCAGTCCGGCGTTTGGACCTGCTGCTATCAAAATTTGGTACAGAGGAGCTCCGGGAAATAGAGCTTCCGAGAAAGGACCACCTAAATGAACTGCAACTAAATAAGGCCGAAAGCAGGAGTTGGGTGCTTGTAGCTAACCGGGAACCGTGAAACTGAAGTTGCGAAGTGCTTCCTTGTTGTCAGCAACGGCACACAGAGCGCAGTTAGAAGTTCTTCCCCGGCGGCCGATGCATGAGTCCCTCCAAATTTGCAGGAATTTACACCCTAATCGTTTGTAAGTATATCGGGCCTGATTCCCTTTTCCAGAAAAGCCAACTGGGGTTTATATTGTGTGCCTAATAAAAGGCCCAATGTTGATGTGGGCGGGAAGTAAAAA